ATAAGTTTTTGGGAAATCTCTTCAAACACTAAGGTAAAAGCCTACACAGTAAACTTTGTGACTTAAACCTCATAACTGTAGCTTGGGAAAGAAACCGAGGAGGGAGGGAGAGAGAGAGACTGAGACGTAAGTCGTAGCTTTAAGATGTGTGCATGAGAGGAGGTGGGTCTTGTAGACATTTATGACTGCGGCTGTGTGCGGTAGAGTCAGTATCAGCCTTTCCATGTTTCTGCAGGACAGTTATGGGCTGCCTGCATCTGGGTCCTACTTTGTGTGAGTGCATGTGTGCGTGTGTGTATGTGTGTGTGTGCATGTATGTGAGTGTATTTGTGTGTAAGTACGTGTGTGCGTGGTCATGTGTGTTAGTATGTGTGTGCACGTGTGTGTGAGCATGTGTGCCCGCGCGTGTGTGTGAGCACGTGTGTGAGTGCATGTGTGTGCGCGCGTGTGTGTTAGTGACCGTGTGTGAGTGCGTGTATGTGTGCACGCGCGTGTGTGTTAGTGACCATGTGTGTGAGTGCATGTGTGTGTGCGTGTGTAGCAGGCTTTCTTGGACCACCAGCCCCTAAATCATAACAGGAGACTTATTATGAACTATGCATGCTCAGCTTTAGCTTCGGCTTGTTTCTAGCTTTTTTTTTTTTTAACTTAACCCATTTCATTTCATCTGTGTGCTGCTCCAAGGCTCCTTTCCCTCGTCTGTGTACTGTCCATCCTGCTTCCTGCTTCCTCTGTGTCTGGACAGCTGACCCTAGGCTGCCTGGCCCCCCTTTTCCCTCTGCCCGCCAGCCCTGCCTATCCCTCCTCTGCCTAGCTATTGGCCATTGTGCCTTTTATTAGCTCAGTCAGGTGCCCTGGGCAGGCAAGGTGAGAGAGCCACACATCTCTACATAGTTCAGCAAATGCTGCATAAACAAACGCAACACACCTTTACCTAATTAAACAAATATTCTATCCCACAGTATGCATGTGCGTGTGTGTGTGCACGCACATATTTACAATTGCCTGTTTATTATGTGTGTATCCAAGGGCACATGTGAACTTCTAGGACAGGTTGTGGAAGTGATTCCACCTTATACCTCCCAGAGGTCAAACTGGTGATCAGGCTTCTCAGGAAGCCCTTTGACCCACTGGGCCCTCTTGCCAGCCCTCTACTTCGCTCTTGAAATATAACTTGAGTCTATTGCTATGGCATTAGAACCATTTTACCGTGATTCCCAGCACTGTCCTAAACTAAGGTTCCTTTATAAGAATGACATTTGTGCCTGGGAATTCCTTGTGGTAAAGCCGCCCTTACTTCAGTGGATAGGGAACATCACGGTTTCTCCTGGGTGTCCATAGCACTCCCTCAGAGTGCAAACAGCAATGACAGGTTCTCCGTCAAGGGTCGGGAAATAAGGTCCCAGTGAGAGGACCTCACCAGCAGTGCAGCTTGCGTGGTGATTTACTGGGGACAGCGGCCACTGGAGCCCTTGCTCTTAACTGTCCCCACCGGTATGCGGCAGTGGCAGTTAGGATGAAATTGCCTGAGGGAGGCATCGTATGCTTTTTTTGGTGACAGATTTTTAACTCTGATTTGGTTATAATGGGTAACTTAAAGCATTTCTATTGCTTCGCTACATACCGGCTAGGTGTTTGGAAGAGACCAGTCATGAAGAGAAAAGAAAAACAGAAAGTGCATATTCCCTGCCAGATTTTATGAAGGACTGAGTTTCATCACGGATTTTATTATTCTTATAGAGAAAAGTGGTGCAGAGTAGCCCAGAGTTCACCATCATGAACCTGCCGCCGCTGACTGTGTACTGCGTGGAAGCGAGAGTGTACCCCTTTGCCTCGCAGCACAAGAGCAGCAACTTCAGTAAAAGGGTGTGTGAGAAAACAAGGGCAGGTGAGCATCTTCTACATGTCTTCAATGGAGCTCGGGTTGATAAAGTGCCGCATTGGGATTGGTGGAGAATTCCCTTTGCTTCCAGTGGTAGAGAATGTCCTTCCTCAGCCACAGGAATCAAAAGTGAGCCCAGCGAGTCCTCCGGGGCCAGGGACACTCGGTCTCCCAGTTCGTGTTTCCTGTCGCTCTGTTTCACTCAGTCCTTGCTCACAGGGTGACAACCGCCTTCAGTCCTTGCTCACACGGTGACAACCGCCTTCAGTCCTTGCTTACACAGCAATGCTCACACGGTGATAACCGCCTTCCGTCCTTGCTCACACAGCAGTGCTCACATGGTGACAACCGCCTTCAGTCCTTGCTCGCTGGCAGACAGCCAGATCACTCACTGGGAGTGCTCCCGTTTTCTGGTCTTTAATAACCTGTGAGAATGGACATTTTCATGAAGGTTTTCATGTGTTTGGGCCTCATTCTCCTTTGTATTTTACTTCCTGGAAGCGACTGGCTTAGCCACCGAACGCTGTGACTGTGCGGGTGCGGGGGACCCCAGCTGATGAGACCACTCTGTTCGTACGGTTCTCCTCTTGAACGCAGGGTTGTTTCTCAGGGCGGCCGTTAAGTGTGACTGCCACTGCCCACAGCGGTGTGTTGAGTGCTCCCAAAGGTTCTCAGGGCACTCGTTCCTCTCCTCTGACTGTCTCATGTGCTTACGCGACGTCCTCGTGTGTTTCAGGAAATTCTCCTGTAATCTGGGCCGTGACTGGACTCGGCATTCTGTTTTTTTGTGCCCTGGTCTTTTATGCTGGGAAGAGCATCCTGAAAGACCTCAGCCATGTCTTTTCATCACCCAAGCCTCCACCAAGTATCCATGAGGTAAGTGTCTCTTCTCGTCACCAGCCAGGAATTGGGAAGCAAGCATTGGATTCAGCAGATGATCTGTCCAGAAAGTATTCTGGACTAATGTGCTTTTTTTTTCCTTCAGAATTCTGGTGATGTTGGAAGCCTGGTATGATAGTGCATGTCTGTAAAACTCAGGAAGCTAAGACAGGAGGATTGCAATGAGTTTGAGGCCAGTGTGAGCTGAGTAGTTCGATTCTATCTGCAAAAACAAGACAGGAGGTTTTCAGAAGCTCCAGGCCAGCTAGAGCTACAGAGAGACCCCGGCACAAACCAAGCTGTCGTCAGCTTTCACCTCAGCACTTAGGAGGCAGGTGGATCTCTGAATTCAGGGTCAGGCAGGGCTATACAGTGAAACCCTGTCGAAAGGAAGGAAGGAAGGAAGGAAGGAAGGAAGGAAGGAAGGAAGGAAGGAAGGAAGGAAGGAAGGAAGGAAGGAAGGAAAGAGGGAGGGAGGGAGGGGAAAGGAGGGAGGGAGGAAGGAAGGAAGGAAGGAAGGAAGGAAGGAAGGAAGGAAGGAAGGAAGGAAGGAAGGGAAAATGTTTAGAAACAATGGCTTACTGCGTACTTGCTGCATTCTGGTTCCAAATGAGTACATGTAAGTGTGTAGCAACAAAAGTGAAAGTGGACAGCAGACAATAACAGAACCATCAGGTTGGCACTAACAGCATCCCCAGGAAATCACCAGAGACGCCCTGATACCCTCGCAGTCTTCCTGGAGTCGGCACAGGACGTTCTCTCCATGAGTGAGATCTCTGACTTCCTGTGCCCAGCACAGCCACCTCATGCCAGGGGATGGACACTGGAGATGCGCGAGCATGTGCAAGGCTACCTTATTCCATAGTCAGCCGTCAGTGGCACCTGACCGTTTGCTAGAGAAACTAGAGAAACGTATGTTACAGTCGGAATAATGACTTGTCCCTGGGTTTGTCTTTCCGCTTCCTCTCTGTGTGGTTTTCCACATCGTATGAGAAACACTGTTGCCCTGTTATCCATCTGTCTTCATCTGGTCCCCTGGGTGAGGTCAGGGTAAACCTGAAACCACTGAGTGGCTCAGGACTCCAGTGAGGATAGCACCTGCAGTCACAGCACTAGTCCCTAGACCCTGGGACCTAGAGGATGAGCCATTCGCTCAAGGCAGGGCAGGCTGGCCTTGAGAGGTCAGGCTTTGGATAAAGAGCTCCAGGGAGCCTTGCAAGTCTGTACCAGGATTCCCCAGTGCCCGAGTCGTAATGATGCCCTCAGAGCTCGGCACCCAGCCTCCTGCGGGCTGGCCTTTTCAATCCCCCTTGGTGCTCTGCCAGTGGCTCCTTACCAGCCAGACCACCAGGAAGATGTTCCCGTCTCCCTTGTGCTTTCGAGTGCCAGTGAGCTGGATGCTGCTCCCTCAAAATCTAGTGCCCGCCCCTGCCCCAGCCTTTGACAGCACAGTGTCTGTCTAAGCGTTCTCAGACTTGCCCAAAATATGCCGTACACACATGGCTGTGTTTAGCTAATCTGTTGGAGTGCACACGCCAAAAGGTAGGTCTGCCAACGTCGGGCATAGGAGAGCAAAGACATTAGAGCTAGAACATCAGTCTTTGTTTTAAACAACCTGTGTTCCCTTCCTTCTTCATCCTTAGCTTTTCTCTGAGCCGCCTTTGAAGAACCTTCTGCTTTTGACTCCTGAGGAGCACACCGAGAGGTGCTTCGTCATCGAGAGCACAAACGTGGTTACTGTAGCAGAAGAAAACCATGCGCCTGAGGAAGATCACAGAAAGTACAGTTTCCAGACCAGCCAGGACTCGGGGAACTACTCTAACGAAGAGGAAGGTACCGGGAGTGAGAGCAGCCAAGGGCTCAGGCCATAGGACTGAGTCTGCCCACAGTGGGCTCTTTCAGAGTTCCATGTGGGAAGGCCAAGGAACACGCCTTTGTCCTCCTGGGAATGAGAGAGGGCGGCTGCTCCTTGGGAGAGGAGGAGCATCTTCAGAGCCCAGGCCTGCAGATGCGGCAGCTCTCCACCGCTGATGCGGAGGGGCATGATCTGGAGTGATGGACCTTCGTCTGTGAGCAGACAGGCCTCACAGAAGGTGGCCACCCATTTCTGCTGCCAGCTGAAGTCCCGGGGTGCTGTCTTGTGCCACAGCGGTGGCCCGTTGCTGCGTATGCCATCTGGTGTTCTCCCACTGTTCATTTCTAGAAGAAATCCAGAACATTCGGCTTTTTGCCACTGCCGTAGCCCCTAAGATGTCTCAAAGGTGCTGTTGTCTGCACTGGCACTTCCTAACCCCTGACTTGCCACAGCAGTGGCGTCTGGCTAGAACTCAGAAGGGGCTGAAGCAGTGGAGAGGAGCTGGCGTTACATAGTGGATAGGCAGTCTAGCGCTTGTAGGAGCAGAAGATGCCGGCAGCAGACGGAAGTGGAATCATTCCGGAAGGAGTAAGCTGGAGCACCATTGACAGCCCATGCCGGCTTCTGTATGTAGCTTTTCTTTGTTCTTCTGTACACCAGGCCGACCTCGCCCGTCCAGCAGTATTCAGGGACCCCGTCTCAGCATCTGTGTAGCTAAAGAAACAGTGTCAAATACTAAGGCGAAGGAAGAGTGGATTGTGTACCGCCGTCTGCAGGTGCCTGTAACTAACTTTACATTGCTGCTCATGAGTGTCTGTCGTAGGCAGGTCATCTAACGGTCCCTGTTGTGTTTCTTTCCCAGCGCCTACGAATGTATGAGTATTTGCAGACAGGTGTGGACACATGAATGTACATGTGTATGAAGTACAGAGCCCAGCAGGCTCTGATACTTCAGACAACCTTGTATTTCTCCTGGGCCCTGGGGGCAGGTGTTACCGAAGCCCCCCACCCCCAGTGTAGCCTCGTGTACCTGGCCTGCTTGGTTCCCTCGGTGTCTGTCTCCCCTCTAGTGCAGAAGCTTCGCGCAGGGACCAAGTTCCCCGCTGTGCCCCAACCCCATCATAGTGCGGTACTCGGCACAGACATATTGTCCTTTTGTCTATCTGCCTGAGGGTCTGCCGCTGCCATGGTTTCACAGAACACACACTGGAGCCAACACTCGGGGTTTTGGCAGGTGCTACTTTGAAGTTGGCTTCTGTGTGCCAGGGGTGCTAAGATGGAGCCCGCCAAAGACATTCCCAGCAGCAGGACACTGCGGACGGTGTCCTGTGGGCAGCAGCCCTGCAGACGGTGCCCTCCAAAGACATTCCCAGCAGCAGGACACTGCGGACGGTGTCCTGTGGGCAGCAGCCCTGCAGACGGTGCCCTCCAAAGACATTCCCAGCAGCAGGAACTGCGGACAGTGTCCTGTGGGCAGCAGCCCTGCACATGGCGTCACGAGGTGAGCTGTGTAGGACTGTTGCCCTCTGGCTTCCTGGATCCAGAGTCTCACCCTTGCCAGTGTCTGAGTCACCTGTCCCTCCATCTCACTGTCCTGAGATCCCTTCTGCGTGGAGGGTGAACACAACTCGTGTTCGTCAGTTTCCTTCCTCGCAGTGGAGGAAAAATAAATTTATCATCTTTATTCCTAAGTGTCCTGTTGAAATTAGAGCGGCGGGGCTGCGTCCCCAGCACCCCGGCCGCCTGCTAGCTTATGCCCGAAATAACAACACACAAACTGTATTCATTTAAACACTGCTTGACCCATTTCTATCTAGCCTCTTCTAGGCTAATTCTCACATATTAATTTAGCCCATTTCTAATCATCTGTGTAAGTACCCCAAGGTGCACTTACCGGGAAAATTCTAGCCTATGTCCATCCTGGGTCGGAGGAGCTTTATTGCGTGCATCTGCCCGGGAGAGCGGAGCTGTCAGGTCTCTCCAGGAGCAGAGCAGAGTCTGACCTCACTTCCTCTTCCTCCCAGAATTCTATTCTGTTTACTCCTCCCACCTATGCTTTAACCTATCAGGGCCAGCCAAGCAGTTTCTTTATTGCTCAGTGACCTTCCTCCATCAGTGTCCTGTTACTTAGTGATAGTGACAGACCCTGTTGCCTCCAGGCTTTGATTGACGGGGTGCTCCTGCCTCAGCTCCCAAGTGCTCAGATCACTGGCTACGGCCTGACTCTTTCTAGGTGAACATGAAGAAACGTCACCGCCCAAGGTCAGGCACCAACAACAGAGCAAAGAGAGGGTGCCACCCAAGTCCGCAGTTCTCAGCCTGTGGGTCGCAACCCCTTTTCAGTCAGCACTTTCATAGTGGCCTAATATGGGGTACCCTGGGTATCAGATGTTTAACTATGATTCATAATACCAAAATTATAGTTATGAAACTGTAGTGAAATAATGTTATGGTTGGGGTCACCACACATGAGGAACTGTATTAAGGGGTCCCAGCCTTAGGAAGGTGGAGAACCAGTGCCCTGCAGCTCAGGTGAGGACTGGAAAGCTGTATCTCAGCGCCCCCTGTCGGACTTGCAGGCAGTCCTGCTGGGGGTCCCCTCTTCCTGAGCAACAGTTCCCTGCTTTCATCTCCTCAGCAAGGGCTCCCTGATCCCATGACTTCCTGAGCCTTGGAAGAGTTCCTCGCTTCCTAAATGTTGGAAGCTTCCCTCATCTCTCCAGTAGGGAAGGTTTCAGTTCATTACATCCAAAACTCACGCTGGGCAGTGGTGGCGCACAAGCACCCAAGAGGCAGGCGGATCTCTTGAATTCCAGGCCAGCCTGGTCTACAGAGTGAGTCCCAGGACAGCCAGGACTACACAGAGATATCCCCGCCCTCCCCTCTCCTCTGTGTCTGTGCTGCAGGTGAGCACACACTTGTGCATGAGTGTGAACACGCAGGTGTCACAAGTGTGGAGGTCTGAGTGCGACTTGAGATAGGATCTCCCTGTGGAGAGGAAGCTCAGGATTCTGCCTGGGGTGGTTGAGCAGTGAGCTCTGGAGATCCGCCTGTCTGCCCCAGTGCTAGGGTTGAGGGAAACAGCAAAGCCTGGCTTTTCTGTTAGGTGTTCACGGTGTGCGCCCAGTGCTCATGCCGACCAAGCCCTCACCCAGTTAGCCGGCTCCCAGACCACTTTCCGCTTTTCTTACAGCTTTTCCCGGGCTTCGGATGATCACACAATTACCAGTCCTGAGGGCAGCATAAATACATGTGTGTGGGGTGATGGACTGGTTATATTAACAGAACAGTATCTTCTCCATATGCCAGAGCCCTACACAGAACTTTGCCAGTAAGCCAGTCACGTGGTGATACACAGATTAATTGAAATGGGTTAAATTCAGATGTAAGAGCTAGCCAATAAGAAGCTAGAGCTAATAAGCCAAGTAGTGATTTAATTAATACTGTTTCTGTGTGGTTATTTAAGCCCTGAGCAGCCGGGAATAAACAAGTGGCATCCTACTACAAATACCCTCTCTCAAAAAAACCAAAATAACAAATTAATTACTTGATTAACTTTTAAAAGGAGGAAGGATATAGCTCAGTAGAGAGCTTGCCTATAGGCCCAAAGCTCTGGGTTCTATTCCAACCACCACATAAACCAGGCTTGTTGGCATGTGCCTGCAATTCCAGAACTTAGGAAGTGGAGGCAGGAGGTTCAATTCAAGGTCTTTGACTAAGTGAGTTTGAGTAGCCTGGGCTACACCCTTCCTCAAAAACAGTTACATTCTAAACACGGTGCTTACTGTCCCTACGAAAGAATTTTGTGTTTATATCCCTTCTGTTTTAATTAAGGTCTAAAATATCTCCTGAAAAGTTCAGGTAGTTACAAAGGCTGTCCTTTCCAGTGGATTGTGATACTAACATTTTAAAATAAACTTATCTGGGACATGGTGAGAAGAGAGGCTGGGGGAGGTGGTTCAACCAAACTTAGGATGTGTAAAAATCCAGAAGGAAACATGCTTCTTGCCAAACTAATTAAAAAATAAAAGTGAAAACCAATTAGTTTGAGTAGAGGTACCCTGTGAATAGGCACAGCTGCTTTCAGAAGCCAAAGGTTATTAAATGAAAATCTCAGTACCAGGGGAGCAGTGCCTGGTCAAGGAGGTTTCTGAGACCCCAAAACAATACAGGCAATTGGCTGCTGCTGTTGGTTGCCCACCAGAACTTGATGGTAGAATCATGGTGCTGAAGCCACCGCAGGCCCTGGTCACAGGACAAAAATCAGACTGAAACTGGGTCACAAGTTCCCTCCCTGGAGACTGTCCCTCTGCACATCAGCTGCTCTGTAGGCGGCTGTGGGGAGAACTGGGGCTCAGGGCCTTACTCAGTTGTGGGCCCTTATGCAGGTATCTTGACCAGCCAGTGCTCTGCTGGTCGGAAAGTGGCAAGTTAGTTATGGGTGACCAAAACTTGTGCTCAAGGTAGCTTGCTTGGATATGGATTTAGTAAGGTGTCACAATGTAGCATTCTGCTAAGGCTGTATGTAAGGTTCAGAAGCAAGGTGCCACAATGTAGCATTCTGCTAGGGCTGTCACACAGGGCTCAGAAGTAAGGGGCCACAAAGCAGGGCACTGCTACAGCTGGGCTGTCACGTAGGGCTTAGAAGCAAAGGTCTTGATCCCTACCTGCCTGGGGGTTGCCAAGAAGCAGGATGCTCTCAGCATCCTCAGAAGTGCCTCACTGAGAAGCCCTGACTTTGCCTCTATGGGGACACCCCTGAGGGTCATCCTGGAGCCTTGTCTCCCCAGCCTTGCTTCCCCCCCCCTCTCCCCACCAACCTTGCAGAGTTCACTCCAGAGAGCACAACTACTACACTTCCTGACAGTCAACCTCAACAATGGGGGCTTACAAGGAAGTCTATCCTGTGGTCAAACAAGACATGACTGGCCATGACTGATCATTCCTCAAGCTGAGTGCAATGGACAAGTCTAAGACGGTCCCTGGGATTTCCATCCCACGTAGATAGGCCCTTAATAATCCCAGGCCTGGGAACACGATGGATCTCAGCCTGTGTTGAGGTTACAGTATATAGCACTCTTGGCCTCGAGACATGAGGTCTCTGCAGATAGAAGCCAGCAGCTCTGCTCTTCACGCCAAGGACCAGAGATTGCCTGGCAAAGCTTGGGAGAGGTCCAGCTGGCGTCAAGCAGGTATGTGGGTGAGCCCCACCCTGGGGAGGAAGCATGACTTCACCTGAAATGAACAAGAACAGCCCCGAGTTCTCCATGGGAACCAGGAAAGAAGATTCACAGGAGATCCAGAATGTGGATTCTGGAAGGCTTGTCTCCTTCCTCCTAAGCTCAAGATATGTAGTCACTGCCACCAAAGTGAGATTCACCTAAGATACTGAAATGCCGGGAGTCAGGCAGCCCGTAGGGATGCCTGGGAGTGAGGAGAAGACGGGCTTTCACATCCTGTAGGATTTGAGAGTGTCCTGGAAGCCACTGTTTAAAAACTGGTCACGTGTACTGGACCTTCTTCTCCCTTTACCCTGGGCCCTGCAGGGAAGTCCGCACACCTGCAACTTTGTCTTTCGTGGCTCTTTGGGAGACCTTGAGGGGCTCTGTGTCCACACCAGATGGAACCAGTAGGCCAAAGTGGCAAACATATCCCACAGCAGGTTGGCAGGGTGGCAGCAAGGTCAGGGTAGGGAGTGTGTTAGGTCCCGAAGCAAAAACTGTGGTTTAGAAACAGGAAGAACTCATCATAATGAATTCACAATATATATATATATATATATATATATATATATATATCCAGTCAAGAAGAACATGTTTGCTTATGTTGAAATCACAATGCGTGGAAAACTGTGGGTTTAGATTCACCTTTTTCAAAACCAGAATGGATAGAATGAAGCCTTTGTCTTAAGTTGCTTTTCTCTAAAATTCAACTGGTTGTACCCTGAATCTTCCTCTACATCTGCCCCGGCTATAGGCGTTGGGCGGTGCCTGCTTCCTGTACACTGGGCTCCTTTTTCTTTGTTTTGTTCTGTTTTGTGGCACTGAAGACTGAACACAGAGGGTCCATGCGTGCTAGGCAGGCTCTCTACCACCGAGCTGCAGCCTTAGCCTGGCCGTCATCTCTAGGCCAGTCATCATTAGGAATAAACAAACTCACCAAAGCCATGGGTCATCTCGGAACACAGGCCTCCTTCAGTCTCCCAACCTACACTGAATACCTGCCCACAACCTACCACTAACCACCCAAGGAAAGCTGTCCTGAACCAACTACAATACCGGTATCTCGCTAGTGTTATTCCTTTTATTTTGCATAATTTTGTTATGAACATGCATACAGATGTCTGATTCTTTACTGGTCTGCTGGCCTGTGGAGCCACTTCCTCAAATGTATGGGCTTTTTTGTATGTTGAAATTTTCCCCCTTGACTAAGCGTGCTGTGTCTAGTTACACTTCCTCATCAATGCAGGGAAGGTTTTTTTGGTTTTTTTTTTTTCCCATACATAGAATTTAAGAAACAAGCACTGAATGACCCAAAAGATATTCACACTGCCTTTAGCCACTCTGGAGCGTATAAACAGATACCTTAAAGTTATTGTCATGCAATGTGTTTTTGAGACAGCAGGCCCAATGTACAGTTCTGCAATTAGGCCCAAGTGTCTTGAAGGAATAAGGATCCTAAGAACCAACCTAGTTCAAATTCAAGCCCTGACAGCTCTTTCCTGTGCACGCTGGGCTAAACAGCTTCGCCTCTCTATGCCTAAAACCCCACAGGTGCTCAGGAACAATAGCTATGGGAAAGTAATAACCATGGAAAAGATGTTCTCACGCATCGTGAAGATCGGCAGCGGTAAACTACACAGATTTAAGTTGCAGCATTATCTAGACAATTCTGCAAGTACAGACTCCAGACTTTTGTGTGTGTGTGGTATTCAACAGACATATTTTCCTTTCCTTTAAGGAAGAAAGAAAAAAGGCTTCCAAAATTAAAAAAAAAAAGTCTTCCATTACTAAAGAAAGAGCAACAGCCAGACATAACAGTACATCTAATGCTATTACCTCTGTGCTCTAGACTTAAGGCAGGAAAAGCGTGTTAAAGGCCAGCCTGGTCTATCTAGACCTTGTCTCAAATAAGACAGACAAAGGAGGGATGCGTGTGCTGGTTTGAAGCCAAGTCAAACTGTCTCGTTGCTCAATAATTTCCCATCAAAATTAGGTTAGTTCCTGACTTCTGCTTAAAGGGTGTGCGAGTCATGACTTCCCAGTTCCTCTGTGCCCTACATTCTGTCAGGAAATCCTGCCAGGGTCATCTCAGTCTCAGATCTAACCACCATCACCACTTGCATGGCTACTACACTGACGCAAGCCAGCCCAGAAAGATCTAGAATAGTGTTTAAGCAGATATCTGGGCAGCGCCACGCACATACACATTAACCATTGCAGGATGCTTGACAAAAGATGGGCAGCTATAGATTCATTCAGATTGTCCAACTGGTTTCATTTAAGCTATTGTCACTGAGAGAAAAAAGATGCAATGATTTAAGAATATTTTCATGGGATCTGGAGAGATGGGTCAGCTGTTAAAAGCACGTATTGCTCTTGCAGTGACCTGAGGTTGGTTCCCAGCACGCATATCCCGTAACTCATAACTTCCTTAACTTCAGCTCCAGGGAATCCGATTATTTCTTTTGGCCTCTTCTGCACACTAGCTCACTCGTGTGCACACACATACCCGTGAACACACACACACTTTTTAAAAAGTATTAAACCAACTCTTGATGACTTAGCACTACACTCGGGTTGACTCAGCCCTCGGCCCTCGCCAGAGAAGCGTCTGTTTGCAGTTGATGGTGACCAGCACCGAGACGAGACCTACAACCGACCAAGTGAAGGGACTCAGAGACTACAAAATGCTTAGCCCCAAACAGAACATCTGTATTGTATACCTTCCCCTCCAAAGACTCGGGGATTGTTGCATAAGAAGGGGTGCAAACACCGTAAGAGCCAGAGGCAGCAGATGTAGGATGGCTACAAGGGAGTGGTGTCCCCTGAACACAGCAGGGAACTGCACATATGAACTCTCCACAGGTAGACAGTATGCAGGCTGCACATATGAACTCTCCACAGGTAGACAGTATGCAGGCTGCACATATGAACTCTCCACAGGTAGACAGTATGCAGGCTGCACATATGAACTCTCCACAGGTAGACAGTATGCAGGCTGCACATATGAACTCTCCACAGCTGCACAGTGGGCACAAGAACTTTAGAACCTCAAGCCATACAGAATCGCAACACGGCAGGTGTCCCTGCTCCTAGGTGGGGAGATACTGGCAACTGCTGACCACTGGGAGAGAAGGGTCTGATTTATTGAGTGGTGGTGTTGGCCAGGCTCCAGAGGGAGGCCATACATTCATAAGTATCTGAGCAAAACAAGTTGGACTTGTTTTGGTTTTTCGTTTTGTCTTTTCTAGGAGTGTGTAGAGAAGGGTGGCAGGAGTTGGGGAAGAAAATGGATGTGACCAAAACACATTGTATGAACTCTCAAAAAAAAAAACTCATAAAAAAGGAGAAGAGGGGGCTGGAGAGATAGTTAGGAAATTAGGAGCACTAGCTGTTCTTCCAGGAGACCTGGGTTCAATACTCAGAACCCGCGTGGTGGTTCACAACCATCTGTAACTCCAGCTCATCAGTGTTCTGTTTTGACCCCCGCCCTCCCCCCTGAGGAACCAAAGGTAGTTAGTAGTTGCTGGGGGTCATTTTCTTCAGTGCTGTAGCCACTTGCTGTCCGTACCCTAGTTTGCCCCTGTTGTGTGCACACAAACAGCCCAGATTAAACTCAACGGCTCCCACAAACAAAATGAAACAGGACATGAAAGGGGGGAGTTTTCAGGAAAGGAAAAGGCTCAGCAGAAGTGGATGGGGCATCAGAGAGGACATGGGAAATGACCAAACACATTGCATGAAATTGTCAAAGATTAAAATGATAAACTAATCCCTTTAAAAAATTTTAAAAGGAGACTGAAGTTGGCAGAGTTTAATCTCCAGTAGCAAGCAAGGCAAGAACATGGCAAGATTGACACTCTGCATATGTGTAAGAAAAAGGAAAGAGGGAGGGAGAGAGGGAGGGAGGGAGGGAGGGAGGAAGGAAGGAAGGAAGGAAGGAAGGAAGGAAGGAAGGAAGGAAGGAGAAAAAGAGAAAAGAGAGAATACATGAGGCTGGAGAGATGCCCCGGTGGTTGAGAGCACTCTCTGCGTTTGCAGAGGACCCAGGTTCGGTTCCCAGCACCCACATAGTGGCTCACAGCCATCAGTAGCTCCAGTTCCAGGGGATCCAGTGCCCTCTTTTGGACTGTGTGGGCACTATGCATATATGGTACATATGTACATGTGTGCAAAACACTTATACACACTTTAATTTAAAAAATACAAAATTCTGTTCACAATGTATATATATTCACAATCACATAATTAAAGATTACAAATTTTGAATAAAGAGAATTAAATATCAAGAGCCTATTAAAGCATAAACAAGATCACAGAGGAAGAGTCCGGGGGGTTGAATACCACAACCTCAGGGCTCACTGGTGGCTCATGTGATCTCCCAAATAAGCAGACGGCCTATGAGCATGTTTGGTGCCGCTAACCTTCCTCTACACATTTCAGATGAAGAGAATCATGCACTCTGTGGCCTTTTGTGCCTGGGTTATTTGCTGAGCCGCTCATTTTCCAGTTCCGCCCACATTGCAGCATCGAACAGGACTCATCTATCTATCTATCTATCTATCTATCTATCTATCTATCATCTATCTATCATCTATCTATCATCTATCTATCTATCATCTATCTATCTATCTATCTATCATCTATCTATTTTTGGTCTGGAAGTTTTATTACACACACTAGGGATGGGGATTCGGTCTTCCTTGGCAACTGCTTTTCTCCTGGTGGAGGGAATGTCTCTCAACTACTTAAGTCTTCGTCCCTTAGCTCTTCTTCGTCCTTGGAGTCCCTGGGCAGCTGTGGCATGGCCACCGGCTCATAAGGGCTGACATACTTTCATGTGGAAGGCCCCCCTGAAAGGCTCATTTGATGAGGGCTTGGTCCCCAGCTGGTAGTGCTAATTTGGAAGATTCTGGAAGCTTTAGAGGTGGGACCTGACTAGAGGAAGTAGGTCACTGGGGGTATTCCCTTGAGGGTGTCTTGTCCCTAATTCCTTCTTGTCTGTCCCTCTGTTTCCCTGGCTTCTGTGTTATGACCTGTTCTGCAAGCCCTCAGCCAAATTTTCTCCTTTTGGGGTTTTAGCTATAAATTTTTGGGACAGGGACTCAAGTAGCCCAGACAGCCCTTGAGCTGCCGTTCTGGCTTCTGCTGTCCACGCGCTGGGATTACAGCATGTGTCACTGTGTCTGCATCACGGCGGGCGATCGGTCACAGCGATCAGGAAACAGCACACTGTTCTCCAAGCACGGCCCCTTGGACAGAGAGTGCTCCAGCCTCAGTGGCTGTACCACGGCTCCCACATTCTTGGTGGCCTTGTGGCCTTCTTGAGGCTCATAGCCATGGGGTGCCACAGAATCCCTCATCAGTGCTGCTCACATTTATTTATTAGTGTATGGATTGGGGGGGGGGCTTGTGAGCACCATGGTGCCTTCGTGGAAGTCAGAGGACAGCTTAGAGGACTCGGCTTTTTCTTAGGTTCCACCACGGAGGTCCCAGGGATCAAGTTCCAGCCACCAGGCTTGGTGCCAAGCCCCTCTGCCAACTGAACCATCTT